CGTCACGTCATTGCATTTCTCAAATTCTCTAGTTGCGGAAAAGTATGTATGTTGTCGGGCGATTTTGCTTACGCTTCGAGAAATGGCTGATTTTATAATGGTATCTTAAGTAGTTCGGTGGCGCTCATTTTAATACATTGTGTCTCTATTGCTCAATTTGTGCATTACTTTAGCAGTGTCAGAGTCACCACCTTCAAAGGATGAGTAGCTGAATAAAGCATCACGCGGAATTGAGAAAAGGACCTGAATCGTTGGATGTAAAGTGCTTAATTAGCAGTTACTTGTTTGGCTCTTTCCAACATCGTTTTTCATCTAATTTTCGGCTTATGATTGATAGTTGAGATTAATTTGAGAACACACTGACTAAAATCAGTTCATATCAGCACTAATAGGAGTGACCGCAATGAATGCAAATTTCACTGTCGTTTTGAAGTTTTATGAAGGATTCTTAAGTACTTGAAGAATGTCGAACCGGTTGGCACAATCGTTTTGATTGTGAATAAAGAGAAAACAAACCACCAAAAACTGGCTAACAGCTGTTCAAGGTTGGGCATATGAAAATATTTCGAGGACGGAACTCTTAACTATTTGTCGTGCGTGATTCAACCTGCTGCATAATTTTCGCTAAGCTCCATTAAAGCAAAATTCCCAGAACCACAATACTTAACTAATCGTGAGTAAATATGCTTTCTAAGAAACATAATCGCACCTGGAAACAATTTTGTTGCCGAGCGACCATGTGAACTCAAGCAGTTTGAAAGTTTTCATTGTGATATTACTACATGATGGATTAGTAATGACATAGCATTCCTTTGAATACTTACGATTATGCAGTTGAAGATTGTACATGCTGCTTTGATAGCTGCGGATCTCCATTCTTCAATGGTGTTATGAAGCGAGTGATTGATCGCCAAACCTGATCATAAAGGTAAAATGGAAATTAATTATTCATATTTTTACTTACTTTGATGTTATCTTACGTGATGCTTTCTCAAATCACCATCTGCTGCAATCGATTCGCATGATGGCTAACATTAACGTGCATCTAGAGTTCGATGAATGTCTTCATAAGCCATTTGTCTTTGAGATCGTTGACCTAATTGAGATATCACAAGAAAGTTTTCATAGTTATACTGCTTTTATTCAACTTCTTGATGTGACCAATTGTTGCGAATGAAATTAAAATCAAAAGTTTTAATTCATAATTCGAAAACTGTCGGTTTTTGTGAACACTAATGTAGATGTGCGACGAGCTCGTTTCATTCATTTCAAATCAATGACACTGTGCGCCATCCCTATCCCATCGAACTGCTGACCGGTTTTTTAAGTTTTACTCTCATCTAATCATTCAGTTAAAGAAGAATGAATGAATGTGGTGTCTGTTGTTCAGAACTGGTATCTGCCATCATTGTCGACACACATTCATGGTTTTGTTATTGCTATTATTATTGTTTCTGAAGTTATTATTGCGCACCACTTCCAGTAATTACCTCAAGGATGTCGTCTGTTTCTATGAATACGTCCTTTTAATTTGTTATTGTGGATGCTCGCGTGCTGATACACGAATGTTCTGAAAAATACGATTATTGTGAGTACTTTAAATTTGAGAATATCCTTGCATGTATCCATCTGGAAGAGCTTTCATCAGTTTTATTACATACACTGTTCATTATTACATTTTCATGGACAATTTTCTCCTGAGGATACGAACGATTATTATAATCGGTGCGTAGCATATGTCCTAATTGCATGATTGAAATATTCAAGAATTTCGCAGTCTTCAATATGCCTACACACAGCAATGTTGCCGTTCCACGAGTGTTACATCGTTATGCTTCAACTGATTGAACTTATTGCGAGTGCATTCTTGAGGAAGTTTTATTATCGAAATTGAGTTACGAAATGCTTCAGAAAAGAAAAAAAGAGCACAAATTTGAAACGGCAGCTTTTTCCGTGCATATGTCTGAATTTCTGAAAGAGTGATGTTCGTTTAAGCTTATTGATCTCATTGTAGCAGCTACACTCGCTTACACTAAACGTCTTATTACAAGTGTTATCGTCGTTGTTGCAATTTTCTTCAACAATCCTATTCCATGCTAAATGATATTTGAGATTTCGTCTTTCGCAGAATTCGGTTCCATTTCAAGAGAGCAATCTATCATGCTATCCGAGAATATTTACTCATTTTGATGATATATATTCGTATTTTTTGGAATAATCCAATTCATTTCTCAAGGTTTATCTCCACTGCGTTTAATGTATGTGTGACGATGTTCTCATTCAGAAAATTTTCTGAATCTACGATTATTCATTTCGGCTATGAGTTATTGTTGTATCTCGCTAACATTGCTTTGCGTTAGTACTTTTTCAGAATTGTTTTTCATATGACATATTTCAAATAATCTATAAATTTGCGTTTTAATTTATTCATTTTTGGTTATTCGTTCAGAGTGGTTGTTTGCACACACATAAATCATCAAACGGCGTGTTATATGAGCGTCAAAATTGAACAAAAAATTTTTGTGAACAGTGAATGAGTTTGTATTGTGTCTCGTCGATGAAAACACGACTTGTGCTTGTTCACACGTATCACTTCTTGCTAATCTTTCATTCATGTGATCATTATGCGTGGTTGTCGTTTAATTTAACGGCACGGCACATTCCAATCGATCGCCAGCTCTAATTATGGAACATCACAGATTTTGATTGTGATTCACATTCGCTTCCGATTATGATTCTTTTAGGATTTTTCAAGTTTGTACTAATGAATCATTCTAAAATGTTCATAGAGATAATGATAGGCCAAATGAGTGAAATGATTGATGTAAGAGCTGCTTCTAAGACGTTCACGAAATGGCGTTATGTGAGTGATGTTAAATAAGAGCTGCTTGTGACGTTCAGTTTTTCATTAGAAGGAACACTCTTCCTTTGGAATCATTAATTTTACAAATGGCAATTCCACCGAATTTGATCTCCTTATCATAAGCTGTGTTATGGCAAAGAAAGTCTCATGCTTATTCCCGTTTAAGAATGTTCGTCAGTCAGGAATTTAATTGGGTGTTGCATAAAATTGTGTGATTCTTTCAGAGTAGGTTATAATTAACCAACGCTTCTGAGGTACACTGAAATAAGCTTACAAGATTTTTGCTTTTGCTTCGTTCACAACGTTATCTTGCTCGGTTTCGTCAGTATCATGATACACCATTCATTCCCTTTACTTTCTTATGCTTTAGGTATTGTAAAATATAATAGTAGTAGTGTCATGTTTACACACATATAAAACCGAACTCAAAAATCGATGCCCTCGTGACGATACCTATTAAGAACCATAATGATTTCACATTCTCATTTCCGACTTGCTATAACACATCATACATATTTGTATGTCCATGATCACTTCGTCATAAGTGAATCGATGAGGTGTGATTGTCATATAAACGTATATTATGCGATAGGGGACACACAATTGATCTGTAGTATGCGCAAGATTTCGCGTATATGCTTATGAGCTGCTTTTTCTGCGTTGTATATCTATGCTTGCTTTTATTCAGGCCAACAGATAGATATGTACACATATCTATATCCAAATATCGATGGATGTTGTCGTGTGTGTTGTATGTAATCCTTTGCGTTCATTCTCCATGGTGATTTTCAACTGGAAATGCCGTTAAGTACGTGAAATATGTTGATGCTGTGCAGCAATTGAGCACATTCTATAATATTACAACGTATTTTTAGTTGTCATTGATGTGTGTTTGTGTGTGTGATAGCGAGAAGCATTTGTGAAACATTCAGAATTTAGACAGTGTGAAGTGGGACTTGAAGATTGATGAAGGCGATGAAGCAGCTACCTATTCGTGCGAAATAATCACGCAATTTTAAAGATTCGTTGTTCTTGGGGTTCTGTAACTTTCTTGAATTTACATAATTTTTCATTTTTAATTTGATTCGACGAATTTTTCGTTCTGATTCGACGAATCTGCTGAGATTAGTTAGTGGAACTACTGTCAACTCATTTTCATAATTATCCGTTGGATCCAGCGAATTCCTTGTATTCACGACGAATAACGACCTCCATTCAACCATTTCTTGTTGGTTTTATGTTGAATTAGTGCTTTTTTTGGTTCGTCTTAGTTGACGTTGAAAAGAATTTTCAATAGATTTTGTTTGCATGTCGATGAATCATTAGTATATTTGGCGTTCTATGCCGGATAGGAGACATTATCGAAGCAGCAGCTAAACTATATCCCTGATTTGTTAAATGTGCTCGTTAGCTGCTTATAATCTGCGCAATTATTTTAAATGACGTCAAACATGTCCTCACTTCATACAGTTAAAATCATTCCCCTGAATTTGTGCGCATGCATCGCGTGTATCTGCCTTCTTTTCAATGAAAATAGCGAAGGAAACTTTATTTCTAAATGTGCTCAATGGTTAAAGTCACATTCAGTTATTGATTTGATTAATCGTAAGACTGAAAACAAAAAATTATTCGGCCGGCCGTTCTTAGGCAATAAAACTGATTGAATTCATTCATAATCAGCAAAATTGAAGTAACAAATTTGCATCCGATCGTAATTATCATCTGTGAAATGCTTTCATATTTTACATAATCTTGCATTTTACATCAGAAAAGTTTTGCTGTCATTGTGGGAGTGTAGGTGAAATTGAGTTCGTTCTTATTGATATGAAAAAAAGTTTCATCGACTTGTTTGAGGTTCCATCGACTTTTGAGCGAAGTATCGTTTTTTTGTGTGCGTGTTTCGTCTCGCGATGCTATCGTCAAGTCTTCTTGTGATGCGTTTGTTGGGTATGTAGCACCGTGAATTCGTCGTACGCCTTCTTTATGAAACTGACCAATTCTTGTTTTCAGCTTCCCTCAAAAGCTGTTTTGTTGAGGCATCTGTCCACCATTGTTGATCCTCTTGAATTCTTCACATATTCATTGGTGAAAGCAAACTCGAAATTGAAACTGCTGCCTGCTTACAAGACGAGTGGATATGTTTGAAGACGGTCCTCCACCGCTACCCGTCGTCACCCACTCGTCCCCGAGCCATCATGAATTCTCTCCAGATGGTGGTCTCGCAGATTTAGCCGATGACAATCGACTAACGGCCGTAGCTGATGACGATTTGGATGGTACGAGTCATGGGACGGCTCTAGCTCAGCCTAACTCTAGCATTCCAGATTTTGAACCTGAATGCTGCTTCATTCTTCCTTCCCCAATTTTAGTGCCTAAATTAGATGTGGATACTAACCATGTGGAAAATCAAACGGGTCATGTTTCTGCTCCCTCCTCTGGTGTAGAGACTGAAAAAAGTTCCTCGAAGCAGGAAGAAGGAAATACTCGGCAGTTTTCGCCTGAATCCTCTCAGAACCGATCAAAATCGGATCGAAAGCCTAGCGGTGATGGAGAATCATCTCATGATTGCCCGGTTGAAATGACATCGGATGAAAAAATTTGTAATGATGAAACACAGCGGAACTTGACTGTTGATTCCACCCGTGATATTAGCGAAAATAATTCAGAACCGCTTGGGGAAAGGAAGAGGCCAACACGAAATGCAAATGAAATTTCCGAAGAAATCAGAAATCATGACCAAAATGACTGCTTCAATTCGAATGGCGAGGAATTTCATCAAGAAGATGCAAATGGTAAACCCGAAGCATCGGTGTTGAACAAGTTCGCGACAAGTTCATTTGAGTGCTCTGGTAAAGCAGATAACGTGCACGATTCTGATAGCACCGGTCAAACTGAATCTAGAGAATCAACGAAGACTGAATTTAAAGCATGTGCTGTTGATGGTGATCATATGCCATCAGCTCAATGCGTTGAGGCATGTAACTTTTCAGAAACTGTTACAGATACAGAACAAGTTACAATGCATTCCGCAGATGAGAATGACAAAAAAGACCCTGAGAGCAGTGAGTGTGTACAGATACAGCAAACACCGTCTTTAAGTAATGCTTCGAAGGTGGAACATATTAAAAGTTCTATCACTGTTGAATCGAAAAAGCCTAGTGATCAACTCCCCGAAAATAACGCTTCTGAGGTGGAAATTTGCGAGGACAAACAAGAAGATAGTCGACGAGATGTGGCTGGTGAGAATTGTAATATTGCTGATAAAAATGATGAGGATGAGGATGACGATTTTGGTGATTTCGAAGAATTTGGTGATTTTGCAGCGACACAACAACCCGTTCAGGTAAATTCCATAGGAACTCAGAATTTCGCTTCAAAAAAAAAGGAAGTTCTTTATGAAAAGTCAGATGCTTTAATGATTATTCGCCAAGGTATGAAATTGGATTCCTTTCTTTGTTGCTTCCAGCTGATGTAATACATCGAAAGCTGTCAGATGTGAAGGTTCATGGTTACATGAAATTTTTCTGTTTTCTGAATGAATTGAAATCTTAATTAATGTTCATGGAATATTAT